TGAGGAACCGATTTACAAGGATACTGGGTCTGGAGGTCTTGTGTTGAGTACCACAGAATTGGAGAAGCAACGACTGAAGCAAGAGGAAGAAGAAAGGCTAAACTGTTTATTGCTGGAAAAGATGGTTAAGGAATTTGAAGTAGAGTGCATTCCTAAGTTTGAAGGATATGAGGACACCATTAAGTTACTGGATGACAAGTTGCTGCTTGTTGAGAAGAAATTCAACCTCCTGAAGGAAGTGTTTGGAGAGCGAAAGGCATTAGATATGTCAGAAAGTGTTGCCACTGAGGACTGTATTCCAGCTGAAGAATCTGTTCCAGCTGAAGAATCTGTTCCAGTTGTAGAAGGTGCTCCTGCTGAAGAATGTGATCCAAAGGAAGAATGTGTTCCAATGGAAGAATGATAGCTTGCAGGTCTGTTCTGACTTTGTCATGTTGTAGGTAAAGAAGATGTCTTTTATGTAAGATAGCTGATGCAGGTTTTGACATGTCACGTATGGTAGTCTAATATACGTGCTGATATATGTTATGAAAGATTTCTGTTAAGTACGTCTAGAATTGAGGCTTCATGTCACATAAGTAGCTGACCTTTTCCTTTTAACTTAAAAATGTGGTATGCGTTTGAGTAGTGCTATGTGTTGATGCAAAAATCATCATTGATATGTTAATTTCATCCTCCGGCTATCGCTTATTGATAGCGAGAAGCAATTTACAATTGGATTATCTTTGTGACACAATAGTAGTCTGGTGTGGGAAAATGGTCTCTTTGGGATAATTATCCCCTCCCTAGACGTAGCTCTTCTGGTTAATTCCTCCAAGCCTTTTCTTTAGTGTAGTTTTGTTATCCATATGATCCTTGTGGTATTGTATCTGTAAGAGCATAGCTTTTGGGGTTAGAGCCTACAAATATAGTAACAGATAGAATGCCCATAAGTTGTGAAGCATTGAAGTTACTGACTGAGCAAAAGAGGGGGGAGGTGGTTAAAACTGGAAAATGCTACGGCTAGGTGTTTCTCTTCATCATCTGCTCTCATTGCAGGGGAGAAACAATCGGGCATTGCAAGTTTATGTCGAATTAATGGCTTTCGTTTGATTGATTTGCAAACTGATGGCAATACTGTTCATTGAGTTGTATATGGTAAGAATCCCTGCTTTTGGTTTCCTATTCTGCATGTAAACATGCCGTTGAAGATTATTTGATGCTTTATTCATTATTTTTTGCATGGTGTGAGTAGAACTTAGATCCCAAGAACTAAATCCCCTCTTTGCTAACTAATATTTATTTGTCTGGCAATGCCGTTGAAGATTATTTGATGCTTTATTCCTTATTTTTTGCATGGTGAGAGTAGAACTTGGATCCCAAGAACTAAATCCCCTCTTTGCTTACTAATATTTATTTGTCTGGCAGTCCTGTAGATTTCATTTAATGATCGATGAGAATTGAATTGAGAATTTGCTAGTAATGCACTTTGGAACTTGATTTGGATCAACATAAATTTCAAGGGAAGGAATGCTTTTATCTTTCACTTTGTTAGGTGGGGTGTGGGATTTAGAAAAAATAAACTAATGCCCAGAAGAAGATTTCACCCGTCTGGATTTTCTCTCTCCTTGCTTTTATCTGTGCTATCCTAAGACTTCGCTATTTCACTCCATACTTGACAGGACTCAAGCTGTAACTACTAGATGAAAAAACTAAAATGCCTGTGCTGTGTGGAGCCGACTACATGCAAAACACTGGGGATGGTGTTGTGCATTTTCTTATTATTTATTTTGGTCTTCAACGATTTAATCCTCATTGAATTTCAGTTGATTTGGATTTTAAAGGCAAGGGTGAAATTAAAAAAAATAGAGATTAAAATTAAAAAGATGTCAAATATGAATGATATGTTGGAGATTATGAGATAATACTTATATCATCAAACTTAAAAAAATAATATAAATTATATATTTAGATCCCTTAAAATAAAAAAAAATCAGTTAAAAAGTTAATTTATTTATTTTTCAATCCATAATTAAAAAGATGAGAGAGAAGTTTTATTGAATTCTCACAAAAAGAGATAAAATTGTTTTTCAAGTCATTTTTAATCACTAAAATGAATTTTTTTTAATGTCCACTAGTTGCATCATAATATGATATATGATAGTTGTTTAAATCATATGATAGTTGTTTAAATCCATAATGTTGCTTGAAAAATAAATCTAAATCAAGAAAGATAAATCTAACCTAATTTTATTTTATATTTTTTTTTATATTTTTAGTTGATGAATTGATTTTTGGATATTTCAATTATGCTAATGAAATGTTTTTGGTTCAAAATGACTTGTTATTTTATATTTTTATATTTTTTTATATTTTTAGTTGATGAATTGAGTTTTGGATATTTCAATTATGCCAGTGAAATGTTTTTGGTTCAAAATGACTTAAAAATTAAGTTTCTTGATAAACTATTCATTTTTGGATTTTTCAGCCATCACAATGATGACTGAAATCTAGACTTATCATTTGCATATTTATTTTTTCAAGATGAATCCTTTTAAAATATTAAAATAAAATAAAAATAAATTCAGACACGCGAGCTCGAGCTTGAAGGTGGGTGTATGTGTATGTGTGAGTGTATTAGGTATAAAGTTAATTAAGACAAACAATTATTTTATTCGGTTGAGTTTATGATCTAAATAACAGGCTTGAAAAGTTAAGTCATAACACTTAAACTATTATTTTTTTCAAGTTTTTCTTGATACTTTTTTTTATGTAAAATAACTTTCAAATTTATATTTCAACTAATATCACTCATTTATTATTTTTATTATTTTTTTATTTACCCTTTTTTAAAATCATTTTATGTGTACTTAATTTTTAAAAATATTCGTTTATTTCATTTTTTTTTTTTTATCTTTTACATATATGAACTTACTTTTTAAAATAAAAATATATTTTTTAAAGATGATATTTCTGATATGTATAGCCTTGCATGTTTTTTTGTTCAATTAATTTAATATGTGTTTGTTTCTATTATAGTTTGATTAAATAAAAAAATTAAATAAAAAAATTTAGCAAACATAATAGGATAAATGTTCAGTTTTGTAAGATTAAATATCTTGATTTATACTTGTATCTTAATCTTAATTATTTTAGTTTTATTTTTAATTATCATTGACGACCTTTTTATTTATTAACACACATAGTTAATTTATGTAATTACATGTTTGTGTAAAGTTTTTGATTTACATTTAGAATTCTTTTAACTACAGAAATGTATTGAAAAAACTTATATATATAATTTTTTTATAAAAAATAATTTAACATGGGCTGTAACACAAATCAAATTTACAAATAACTAATTGATACTATAAAAAAGATAAATAAAACATAAATAATTTTTTTTTATTGGAGCTCACCAAATATGATAATATCACTTTTATTTATTTAACAAAAAAAATATTTTTATTTCTTTCTCTTTTCTCATCTATTTTATTGAATAAGCATCGTATTATACGATAAGAAACAAGTTAATAGACCATAAAATTTCTACTATTTCACTGGAATTTGTTCTGTTATTAGTATAAGTTAAAAGACCATCTAATCTTATTATTTCACCGGAATTTATTTAACAAAAAACAGGCTGTTCTCGCTAAGAGAAAACAAATCTGTGTAAACAAATCCAATCTTCCAAGATCTAGAACGAGTAGAAGTCTGCATCTTTTATGAATCAAGTACGATAAATGAGAAAAGAATATGATTACATTAGAAGATTTAAAAAAAAATAAGGATTAAAATTAAAATAAAAAATAAAATTTATTTTTAATTAAAAAGTGAAATTAAAAGGAATAATTAATTAGCAAAATGTTCAAAAAATAATGACAAGAATGAGAATCAAATTTAAAATAAAAAAATATATTTTTGATTGGTGAATAAAATTGAAAATAAAAATCAATTCAACAAAAGGTCCAAAAATAATTAAAAAATAAGAACTAAGTGAAAAAAATAATATATTAAAAATTAAAATTAAAGGATAAAATTAATTTTTTTATAAATATTCAAAAAATCTAGAAATAAAAAAAATAATGATTAAAATTGAAATACCAACAATAAAAAAATCAAATTATAATTTTAATAAAAAAACCCACCAATTAAAAACCAAACCATCATCTTTAAAATATGCTACACAACCCAAAAAAGAACGCGATAATACTTCAAACTACATGACAGAATGACATTTTTGAACTTCAAGAGATATTGCTCGCGTTGGTTGCAGGGCGTGGTAGCCTCCCAAGCACTAGAAAGTGCACCGCCCGCTTCCTAACCTTTTTTAATATTTGATTAAATATTAAATTACTTCTAAACTAACCTCATAATAATAATAAAATCATTATAAAAGGATGAAATAGTTTATTAAGGTCAGTTTTAAAATAATATTTTAATCATTTCACTATATTTTTAGTTTTTTTATTATTTATTATATTTTAGTTTAATATCAAATTGCTTCTCAGTTGACTTATTAATTACTAAAGAACAATTATAAAAATATAAAAATGTTGATTTAATTTTTTTAAAAATATTTTAGTTGTTTTATTGTGCAATTAAAATAATTAAAAATTTATTTATCCTTGGTTAATTTGTTAGTGACTAATAAGTTTTGTAAAAATTCTTCAATACCCTGAATAGCATACGTTAAATTTTTTAATATGAGGGCGAAACCTTAAAATGCCAGTGAAAATCTTTCTCCATATATATATATATATATATATAATTGAGATTGATGTAGAGGTATTTTGTTGGTTCATGTCTCGCCATCATTTTATTGGCTTGTCGATCCTATCATGCTATTCTTATTAATAAAATCTGCGATCATTTTCATGCAATACATAATATGGTGAGAATTGCCGCCAAGCTCCAGATGGCAATCGTGAAAATCAAAGTCTGTTGGACTGAGAAAATCAATTCTACCATCTTATTATTTAAGTGTTCTTGCTGTGTGTATCCATGTTGGTGAGTAAATCATGAGAGTCCTCTTGATCCTCTTTCTATCATCTTCTTTGTCGAATGGAATGTCTAAAGTAGACAGCACTGTTGATCCTCATGCCCTGGGAAACAAACCTCGCAAATTCAGTTTAGGTGGTATTGTAGATTGCACAACTCGTGCCGGGAAAGAAGAGAGAGTGGCCATGGAGATGGCACTCCATGACTTTTACAGCAACGCTACCCAGCGGCCCAGACTTTGTGTCAAAGACTCGAAAGGGGATTCCTTCCGAGCAGCCTCCTCTGGTGAGAACGACATGATCCAATCTCTTTGAAATTATTAAACTCTAAAATCTCTCAAAACACTAGATTGTGTATGCATGACTCCATAGCACAGAAGCCTCGAATGATAGTAATTGCTATGGTTTTGGTATTCCATGCATCAAAAGTGGGGAATGTGCTGCGCTAGAAATCTTTGAGAGCACTGTCTCCTCGTGTAATGTTTAATGTTTATTTTTACGAACCTTAAATTACATAACTTGATTGTCGTAGCTCTCCAGTCTCCAATCTCAATCTAGTACCCTCAAGTGTTTGAACTTGGAAGTTGAGACTTCCTATGTCACGAATCGGCCTTGTAGTCCGGTCATTGCGCATGAAGTAAACAATTGAGCGGAGGTTTGAACATACTTGGTAGTTATTGTAATTGCGGTTTACAATATTTTTATTTAAAAATATATTAAAATAATATATATTTTTAAATTATTTTTTATATTAATATATCAAAACAATTTAAAAATATAAAAAAGTAATTTTTAATAAACAAACTCAAACTCAAAATTAAAAAAATAATAATTTACACCATATTCTCAACCAAACTTTTAATCTACATATTTGAACCCTGCTTATTGCTTTCATTGTCGGTTAAAAATTGCTTGTCATGTATAAATAATTAAATTAATCATTTCTCATATTCATTTAATATCTTCATAATTCATGCATGTTTGTTATAAAATTTATAATTACAGAATTATGAGTGTGTGTATATATATATATATATATTATCAAATTTTGTTTAATTCAAGGCTTGAGAGAAAGTTGACCTTGATTATCTTAAAATAGCTTTATTCTATTTTTTTAATATTAAAATGGCTTCATAATTTCAATCAAAATGAGTTTTAACCTCGTTAATTAAATGTGACAATATCAATTATCACCTGAATTTTAACATAGATAACTAAGTTTTAACTTGATAGCAGAGCCACCGTAGCTAACACCTACTAAAACCCTTCAATCACAAACACTATCGCCCATATGCCCCCTATCTCGTTTTATTCCTAATAAACTTGATATACTGTTTATAATATATACATTATCTTATAATTTCTTTTATATAATAATTGATATATTAATAAAACAATCATTTAGATAATGGTAAAAAAACATAATAAATAAAAAAATCCAATTACAATACATCAGAAACTTAACTTATAACTTCAAAATGAATTACAATAACTTCATATCAAATTACCTATACTGGCAACTTAACACATTCTCTCAGATTCAAGCTATGCTCATTCGGCCATCCCCATATGTTCATAGACATAAACTCCGGAATAAATTATATATAAAAAACCCATTGCATTTGGATTAACAACACTTTAATTTGTGCTTCGGCAAGAATAAAACCGGCCATCCATGCTTGTTGTTGCCACCTCGATTTGTTTATATATATATATTACTTCCATGCAGAGGAAGATGCACAGAAGTTGTAGGAGTGTCTATACCGATTACAAGCGGTGAATTTATATTAAAAAATACTTAGCTCAAAGGAACTGATCGATTCCTATTTTTATTTTAAGAATTTTAAATTAATTGTTTCACTTTGGGATTTGCGTTATGAGTTGCAATTACTTGTCAAACAAACTAGATTAAAACAAATAATAAATTTATTATACAGTAAAAAACAATTGATAATTGAACAACCGGTAAATTTATATATATAATTGAGAAAATATATTATTATTAATTAATAAATATAAATTCATTATTTTTTTCTTATAAAATTTAATACTTCTAAATTAGTCATTTAAAGTCACTTTTACAAATTTAATCTCACCACATATTTTTATACATTATTGTTTACATCTAAATAGACAATTGTAATGTCTTATTTACAGATCATACACATATATAAATGACCACAAATAACAATATTTAAGTTTTATATTAAATAATTATATTATATAAAAAAATCATGATCATATCATTTTTCTTTTCTTTTAATAATTAGAGTACATAGCTTAACTTTTGTGTTTCTAAATAATATTATACCTTTGTATTAGTAGGATTTCTTTGATGCATGCATTCTATTATACCTTTGTATTAGTAGGATTTCTTTTTCTTTGATGCATGCATTCTATCAGTCTATAATAATAATAATAATAATAATAATTTAATGTACTTATATTTAGATAATATTGCATGGTCTTTTCTGTTATTAACATTACCAGTGCTACTATTATGATCATAATAGTAATTATAATTATCTTATTTATTGTTAAAAAAAACCTTATTATCATAGTTAAAAGTTATTTAAAGTGTCTAGTTTCAACTTCATTCAAAATTAAAGATTATTTAACTAAAAAAAATAATTAATTTTTTAGTATTAGAAATAAAATTAATAAAAAAATATATAGCGTAGGCATTCTAAAAAAACACTTTGTTTAAAAATAATCCATTAGCTTAATTCTTTTATTCAAATCGATGAATATTATTGAAAGAATGCCATCAAGGCAATGGCGAGGAGTTTACGAAATTACAAAGCAAACACAAAAATTAAAGCCAAGCCAAGAACTCTCTGTCTACTAATACCCTGCTTTGCCAAGATGTCAGCTAAGGCACTCTACCTTCTCTATTCACCCTGCAAAACTTTAGAGAACCCAAGGCTTAACTGAAGCTTCAATGCAACTGAACCCAGACCCTTCGAACATCCATCTCATTGCATTCGTAGAACCCGATTCAACGATCGAGTGAACCTCATGAGCAAGAGGATAAGAAGCATTTTAATCAAAAGCTCTCTGAACAGCAAGAACTTCTGCTTCATTTGTTAATCCCTTTTTAACTACTTTATCTCGGAATATAAATGTTCTAATCATGTGTTGCAGCTAAAACACTTATCAAAAAGCACAATGTAGAAGCTATTATAGGCTTGGGAACTTCGCAAGAGGCCATCCTTGTTGCTGAGCTTGGCAACAGATATGAAGTCCCTATCCTTTCGATGGTAAATGAAGTTCCAGTTTGGGCCTCTTTACGCTGGCCTTTTCTGATTAATGCAGCTCGCAACCAGCTCTCACAGATGAAAGCTATAGCAGCTATAGTTCAGAGTTGGCAATGGCGGAGAGTAAATGTCATTTATGAAGAAAACAAAATTAATAGCATCATACCACATCTCTTCTCTGCTCTTCAAGATGCAGATGCAGAAATCAGTGAACTACTGCCTTCCCCCCCCTCACCTCCATCCCGTTTTTTATCTGAAAAACTGGTGTCTCTTAGAAACGGGCAGTGCCGGGTGTTCATCGTTCACACTAGTGCAACACTGGCGAGAAGCATTTTCAGGGAAGCGAAGAAATTGGAAATGATGGAACAAGAATATGTATGGATCACCACAGACTCCACATCAGACTATTTTAATACATTTAATAATTCGGTCCTTTCATCAATGCAAGGTGCCTTGGGTGTTAAAAGCTACATTTCCAGTTCCAGTAAAAGAATCAAAGATTTTCGCTCAAGATTTCAGGTGATGTTCAGCTCTCAATTTCCTGAAGAGCCATTTCCAGAGCCAGGGATTTCTGCCTTACAGGCCTATGATGCAACGTGGGCTGTTGCTCTTGCAATGGAAGGAAGACCAAGTTCGAAAAGGTTCGGAAATTCTACAAGTATTACTCCTATAGCTTCAATGGGTGGAACAAGTTTGTTGAACAGAATCTTAGCTTCGAAATTTGAGGGCTTAACTGGTCATATATGTTTTATAAATGGCATGTTGCATCCTGCGGTACGAATCTTTACTCTAGTCAATGTTGTAGGGATAAGTACTGAACTCGGGTATTGGACTGAGGGCTATGGTTTCTCAAAGACTGTTGGTGCAAACATCCATTACAACAACTCAATAAAAGTTTTAAGGCAGATCATTTAGCCTGGAGGGCCTTGGTCAGCTCCTCGCGGATGGGCGTCAGCAGCAGGGGGCAAGAGACTAAAAATAGTAGTTCCATCAGGAAATAGTCACAAAGAATTCGTAAAAGTATCATATGATAGTCCTGGGGGTAGTATAAGAGTTACAGGATTTGTAATTGATGTCTTCAACGCCACTCTCTCTCGGTTGCCCTATGCTTTGCCATGTGATTTCACCGGGTATGATGGCTCCTACGATGCCTTGGTATACCAAGTTTATAATCGGGTAACTATTGTTTTCAATATTTTCTCTCTTCTTGCAAGCTTCCATATATTACTCTTCTTCGAGAAAATCTTTAGCCTACAACTGAATTGTTGCCTTGGAATTAGTCTTTTGATGCAGCAATAGGAGACACGGCCATTTTGGCCAACCGTAGTAAATATGCAGAGTTCTCTCAACCTTTTACTGAGCCAGGTTTGCAGATGGTGGTGTATCAGGAAAGTAAGAAAATAAATAAAGTTCGGTTGTTCTTGAAGCCATTTACAGGAAAATTGTGGATCAGCATTGCAGCCATTACTGTGTATAATGGATTTGTTGTATGGTTGATCGAACGGCAGAAAGATAATCCAGATTTCAGTGGCTCTTGGTGGAAACAAATTTCAACCATGCTTTCAACATCTTTCATTACACTTTTTTCACTCAAAGGTAACCCTATCTTTTTAATTCACTTGCATGTATCAGAAACATAATTTGGTTAAACATATAGATTTTTTTCTCAGGTGAAGGATTGCACAGCAATTTGTCTCGGATGGTGATGGTTGCCTGGCTTTTTGTGGCCTTGATTACTACTCAAAGTTTTACAGCTAATTTATCATCCTTGATTACCCTTCAACAACTGAATGAGAGTCCTGTCACCATAGATGCATTAAAGAAGAGCAGTGCAAAAGTTGGGTGCGATGTAGACTCCTTTGTAGTGGCATATTTGAGAAATGTCTTGTACATCCAAGATGAAAATATCGTCCGAATTCGAAACGAGGAAGAATATGCTGCAGCTCTTATAAATGGAAGTATAGCCGCAGCATTTCTAGAAATTCCATACATCAAGGCCTTCTTGGCTAAAAATTGCAATGGCTTCACAACTTCAGGACCAATATACAAAGTTGGAGGCTTTGGATTTGTGAGTTTTCATTCTCCATCAGAAACATACACAGACATTTTATGCGCGCATGTGTTTATTCTTAGTCATCTAAATATGTGACAGGTTTTCCCAAAGAATTCTCCATATATTCCTGACATCTCCCAAGCTGTTGTTAACATATCAGAGACGCTTATTGACTTGCTTCAAATTTCTTTGAACTACTCCGAGTGCTCAGCTTCAAATTCTGACGACCATGCAAGTATCGGACTCACTCCCTTCATTGGACCATTTCTGGTTACTATAGGAACATCCTCGATTGCTCTTTTTCTCTTTTACCTTCCTTCTATCTGTCAAATCTGGAGACAGCACCGGCCCTTTAATAATGATGAACAAGAGCCTCAACAGGAACTAGAACTACAACGGTCGTGGCGGCATGATCGCAGGTTTGATGAACAAATTCTATTTGCATCTGAAATGGAAAATCGAGGTGCCTGGCAATAACTGTACATTTGAATGATTTTATACTCTTTTTTGGTATATTAAAATAGAAACTATAGGATTTTTTACAAATTTATTTATTTCCCTGATGAAACTACTCTAGATTAACATGTGTTCTAGATTTCAACCAGCTATTCTGATTTAATTGTGAGTTGCTTGTCTGAACATTTTGTATCAGTGCTTGAATTGTGCTATTGGTTTTCTGGGGGTTCTTTCTCATCACGATTCAATTAAGAGGACTCTGAACAAAAGTTAATAAGATAAAGACTCCACATAACGGGAACCAATTCAACACTACCATTAATTATAGTCAGAAAGCAGCCTAGTTTTGGATGAAAAGTTATCAGATGAAACTTCAATAATACAATATGGACAACTGATATGCTAAATGCTAACAGTAACAGGTTCCTATTATTTGATAAGCTATGAATCTAAAGCTAACAGGAACATATAGTTGCCAGTCCAAAGGAAATTAGTGCCAGGAGTACAAGTGACAGTCTAAACTTGAAATTCCTTGGTAGATTGGTCACTATTCACGACAGCAGCAAAGGTTGGCTGCGATGGAGGCTCCTTTGTGGTAGCATATTTGAGGAATGTATTATCGACAACCACAATTTCTCTTTTTTATTTATTATCTTTTCAATGAAACAAGAGTAGCCACGGAAGAAACAGCAGCGGCGGAACTACCAGCACCAGCAGCGACAACCGCACTACCAGCAAGGGTAACAGCATCTGCATCACATCTTCAGCAGCAGCTGGAGCACCAGAACCAGCAGCATCAGCCACAGGTAAAGCAGATTGATTCTGGACAACAATAAGAAAAGCAGCAAGATCTAGCTACATATGAACAAGGGTCCTATGCTTGGAAAATGGAAAATGAAGAAGACAGGGTTTTCTAGGGCATGTTTTTCTATCATCAACGGAAAAAACACTAATATTTGCATGTATTTCCTAATGTACTAAAGGAAAAAGATATGCGAACAAGGTCTCCCTTAACATATAAAGTCAGGAAACCCCAACTGAGAAGATTATAGAAAACATCTTTAAAATATAAAAGCCAATTAAAACTTCGAAAAAGTATTTCCAAGAAGGATTCATCTCGAGTCATTTTGTGATACATCTAATCTGAATCATATATCTTCTGTCCTGATCATTTTGTGATACAGTAACACCTAACTATTGCTTACTCTCAGTTGCAAACAGTGGAGGGGTAGCAATGGTACCCAGATTTAAGATCCAGACTTCTGCTACTGATGGCTTGAGGGAGGATTGATGGAAAAGCCAGCAAAAACTTGAACTCTTATCTCTATATATTAACGGAAAATCATTGCTAAGCATTTATAGTTCAAGAGCTCCTACATGGAAGCCAACAATTACAAATGCTTCGTTGAGAATGGAAAATGCTTTTGCCTGCTCATTTTGTTGCAGGATTCTGATCGTTATTTTTCATGTTTGCTAAATTGATGCGAACTTGATAATCTTGTGGTCACACAACCAACAAAATTAATAACAAATTCTGAAAAACCGAAATAAATCTGACAAGAATGTGATAAATAAAAACTTGTTTAAAGACCCTAGCACAAGCTAATGAGTAGATGTAAACATCGGAATAAATCCATGATCAAACATCCATCGAAGAACATACAACACAACCCAAATTTTATAAATTTTACTATGTACAATTGGAAATAAATATGCAAATCTTTTTTTCTCCTGTTTTTTACTAATAATTAGACAAAAAAAAAAGGAACTATTAAAGAAAAAGAACAGAAATTCTGACATCAAAGTATCAAAAACACACCTCCCTGACAGCCACCCTTCCTTACATAACCTTAAACCATCATCTTCTGCCTTCCTGACATGACTTATAAAAAGAATAGACAACATTAAATAAATCATTAAGGATGACCGTTAAGTATGCAAAAGAATTATCATCACCACCCATAGCAGCCCTCCAAATTTAAAGCAAGAAAATGTTAATTTTTCCTTTTTTAAAAATAAATAAATCAGCAGCTTCTTTTTTCCTTTTGTTTTGGGCTCTTTCATATCACAGATGAACATGATTTTCTCCCCTATCCATCCAATCATGTAATCCTGAGTGGGCCCTGTAAGATGTGAACATTGCACGTGAATGCACAGCTTAGCAGCAGCACAGAGAGAGCACAAAAATTCTAGCCCCAGCTCTTCAACATCTTTGTGGCTTTACTTTTTGCAGTGAATTTTCCAAGCATGGTCAAGGGAGTAATGAGCTCTAGCAAGCTTTACTCTCAAACACCAAAATATTCCAAACCCACTTAATTAAGCAATTAACCGATAAAAACTTTTGGATCCTTAAGATGTTCCAATAGTTTCTTCATTATTTTGTAAGAACTAGTATGATAATGAAATCATATGTCACTATGTACCATTTTCCTGCTGTCCAATGATAAAGAGAATTTACTTTTCACTGTACCATTTCTTGAGAAAATCACTTGATAGACCTAAACTTGAAATAGCTGCTGTTCTATATCGGTAGTAGGAGTTGTGGGGTCATTTGATGGGGTTGATGATGCTGATGGTGGTGAAGTATTTTCCATCTTGAGATTCTGTTGATGATACACTTGCCTTAGCCTCTCTATTTCCCTCTTCAATGCTTCTTGATGAGCTGCATTTGTTCGAATCAGCTAGTTAGACCAATCCAGTATTAACCACGCACTGTGATCACAAAGCTTGATTCCAAATTTCACCATTCAATATATTTGAGCACAGCAAGCAAGAAAAATTATTGCAGATGAAGACCAAACCAATCATATCAGTTCCCACCTCAGTTCATGTATTTTGGTCCCCTCCCCCTCAGAGAAAATTGAGAAAAACTTAAAACAAGGATTGATCATATATTGAAATCTGATTCCTTAATAGTATATAGAACAAAATGGGATCAATTCACGTGTTATGTATTAAATAATGGAGTTGAATAATACTTGTGGGCTAACAAATAACATGCATTAACAGTATTTTCTTTAATCATGAAGTGGATTATTATAGCTAAAGAAACCCTACCCCTATAACTTATCTAGGACTGAAGCTCGTGCTAAGTATTATATATATATCGTGATTAAGATGAGATTAAGGGTTTTATGAACTTGCCATCTTTGAAAATGTTATCTTGAGCCAGCCTCCTAAGCAGTTAAAGCAAGAAAAATAATATTTTTTTTCTTTTTTCTGATCAGCTACTTCTTCTTTTTTCTTTTTGTTTTTTGGGCTCTTTTAAATCACAGATGCACATGATTTTCTCTGCTAGGCATCCAATCATGCAAATCTTGAGTGGTCCCTGCAAGATGTGAACACTGCACGTGAATGCACAGCTTAGTTGGCAGCAGCACAGGGAGAGATCCAAATCTCGGCCCCAGCTCTTCAAAATGTTTGTGACTATCTTTTCCCAGTAAATTTTCCAAGCATGGTCAAGAGAGTAATGAACTCTACCTACCTTCGCTTTCAAACACCAAAATATTCCTATCCCACTTAATTAAGCATCCAAGAAAAATTTTTGGATGCTTAAGATGCTCCAAAATTTTCTTCATTGTTTTGTAGGGATTAGTCAGATAATGAAATCATGTCACTTTGTACCATTTCCCTGTTGTCACATGATAAAGAGGATTTACTTTTCACTATTAACATTCTTGAAACAATCACTGGAGAGGAGCTAAACTCGAAGAAGCTGCCGTTATTTTTCGTTAGTAGGAGTTGTGGGGTCATTTGTTCTGGTTGATGCTGCTATTCGTTTTATCCATCTTGAGGTTTTGTTGCTGATAAACTTGCCTCAGTCTCTCTATTTCCTTCCTCAATGCTTCTTGATGAGCTGCATTTGTTCCAAATCAATTAGCTAGTCTGGCCAATCCAGTATTAAACATATATTGCGACCATCAAGCTTTGAGTACTCAAAATTTGAAACATTCAATGCATTTGAGCACTGCAAGCAAGAAACATTATTGCATATGCAAGGTTAGTGGAGACCAAACCAGTCACATTATAGAAAATCACCGCGAGAACTCATGATTGTAGCCGGATCTATTACAATTTGGGTTCACTTAAATGGGATTTTTCATTTCCTTTCTGAAAATGCACTACCTTATTAACCCATGTGGGATTAATACCAGTGGATTAAGAAATGTATATATAGCAGTTAAGGACTTAAAATTGGCTTGGCTGTCCCTTATGAATTAAGTCTCTCCACCCTCCAGAACAGCCATTCAACCAAACATTTATCTTGTAAAATAAATGAACTGGGCAACCTACCACGAGATGCATTTTATTCAAGGCTAGCTAGCTATATACCTGTGCCCAGATTAACAATCAGTGGATATATCAAGTACTGAGAGAATTTCTATATATATACTATACGAATTTGTCCTCACTATAATAACATGATGATGATGAAAATTACATCTTATTTAATGTGTAGCTGTCGCATTTAGTTACCATTTCAATTTTGGTCCCCCCAGAGAAAATTGAGCAAAACTTATTAAAAAACTATAAATCCCACTTTTGAAATCTTAAGAATTGATCATATATTATATTTTGATTCCTTAATACTATATAGAACAAAAGGGGATCGATTCACATGCTATGTATTAAATATGGAGTTGTAAAATATTTGTGAACATGCACTAACAGTTGCTTTAATTATGAAATGGATTCTAGCTCACTCAAGATAGCTAGCTGATCGCTACAATTAACCTATGTACTTAGGACTGAAACTATTGTTAGAGTATTTTGTATCCTGATCAAGATGAGATTAAGGATAAGTAAGAGATTAATTACCATCTTTGAAAATCTTATCTTGAGACAGTGCAGCGATTCTTTGCTTAAGAGCACTGTTGTCAACATTTAGGAGCAACCTTCGATGGTCTAGATATGCAACCCTTGGTGACAACACTGAAACTTCACCCTTCATTAAGCACAAAATTAGACAAAATTAAAACTTATCATTATATTTCAAACCATGCAAGATTAGCATAATTATGATGCTTGCAAGAGAATTAGTCAAGGTTAATTGGAAATTACTTACTTGCAATGATGTTACATAGCGTTCAAGCTCAGATATGTACTGCAGCTTTCTCACCCGTGATCTTCGAGCAGATTGTCTGTTTGCCAAGATTCTAATAATGCAAAAACAAAAAATTAATAATGAAAACCATATGATCACTCAAATTAAGTTAGTGACTAGAATATGATTCTTTCTCGTTGCATTTGCAATTGTACGTGCATATAGGTCCTAAATTAATCATATTTATTATCTAGTATATAAATATAAGGCTAAATTACCTAAAATCATACCGAACTTTGGTTAAACTGAAATTAGCTCTTGGGATTTCTTTTTTTTTATTTGAGAACCATGAACTATCTTTTGTTAAAAAAAAAAGGCTCTACGTCCACGTTTTCGTCTTTCCATTAATTTTATAATTTTTTCAAATCACTTATTTTCACAATATCTATAGTTTTTATAAATATCATTTGTAGTTAGAATAAACAAAAATACCTATTTTTTTATTAAAAATAAAATAAAATTTAAAGCACCCAGATTAAAATAATAAAATAAAATTTAGAAACTAAGTTTAATTTAACTCGAAATTCAGTTTAATTTTTTATAATTTAGCATTCATATAAACTAGTTTTTGCTTTCTATAATCTAAGACTATGTAGTGGTTGAATCAATAATTTTTTTCTCAAGCTAAATATCCTTGAGTTAATTTCTCCTCTCCCATCTTGACCTCTTCTTTTCATGTTAAAAATACCTAAACTAAGTACTGACATCCACATAAATTAATGAAACAACATTTATGGCTTCACATTCTTTCAATATATAGAACCTACAAAAATTAAAAGAAAAAAGAAAAAAAGGGTTAAAATTACTTAAATTATCATATAATTTGCAAATCAGAAGAAGGGTCAGAACCAATCTCATTTAGATTTTACCTTTAGCTAATTTAATTAATTTATCACAAAAAAAAGTTATGCTTCGAAGATGAAAAAAAATTAAATATTGGTGCTATGTCGATGCTTACCTCTTAACTCTCTAGGGATCCATTTTCCGTTCATTAGAAGTAGTAACAGGATCGGTGGCAGTTGGGACAGTAGCCAGTGTCTCCCATTCAGATGGACTTCGCCCTTCATCATTCTCATTCCTCACCTTCTGCTGCTGCTTATACTTAGACACCACTCCTATAGCTTCTTTCTCATCATTAAAGCTGTTGTGATCAGACGGCGAAGAAGGTGTGGAGCTAGAATTAGGAG